GTAACTTCTTCCAGAAAACTGATATTAAGAATTATTGCTTATTAGAGGCACCAATGTTTTACATTTACTTTTCTCTTCCAAAACAATGTTATTGAGGTAAAGCAAACTTACATTTTTATTAGAGAATATAGATATATAAATCATAAAATAAGAAAATGCTTGACCTTTTAATACTTAATTCTTGAAACATTTAAGAAAAACTGAGGTGATATAACAGAGATTGCCTATATATTCTTACCCATTTTTCTTCATTAACAATTTAGCCAACTACATTTTTAAACAATTAATGCACAAATACTGATACATGGTCATTAAACTCCATATTTTAGTTGTATTGCCTTAGCTTTATGTAATGCTGGGTGTGTGTGTGTGTGTGTGTGTGTGTGTGTGTGTGTTTTCTAGGACTCTTTCTATATTCGTGGTCTCCTTAGGCTTAAAATGCTTTCTCAGGCTTCCTCATCTTTGAAAATCTTGATAAATTTACATCATAATGATGAGGTGTTTTGCAAGTTGACCCACTTGTGTACCTTTTTTGATGCTTTACCCATAAGATGGGGTCATATGCTTTATGAGGGCTACAGACATGAAGGGCCATTTTGTCACATCACACCAACGTTAAAAGCTATCAACATGATATAACTGCTCATGTTGAAGTTGATAACTCACCTGAAGTACGGGCCGTCAGGTTTCTTCACTGTAGTTGTCCTTTTTTTCCTCCTAATCATACTATATTCATTGGAAACATACCTTTTATACTTAGGCCACAACTAAGGAGTGGGGAGTTATGTCCCCCTCCTAAAGTGGAAGAGCTACAGGGACTCTTTGGAATTCTTCTACTCTGAAAATATGTCTATTTCCCTCATTTACTATTTTTAATCTAATAATTTACTCATATCATAACTGATAGACTTTTATTTTATACTTTTGGATATAATCAGTTTTGTTAACTTGGTCCAGTTTGACCACTGCAGACTTGCAGTTGATGTCTGTGCTGTTTTGATGTGACATCAGTACTGGTTTATTTTATTTTTTAAAACTTCTTTAATATCCTACATTATAAAATGTCTTAGTTTATATTTTATATTTCCAGTCCAGTTTCTAGGATTGGCCATTTCTCCAGGAACCTGTACTTCTTTTCATTGGAAAATAGTAATTAGACACTAACATCTCGATTCAAAGTCTTCTCATTGATCCTAGAGTGTCACTGCTATTAGATCTTCAAAACTGACTGAGGAATTGACCTTGTATGGACATAAAGGCATAAATATTTATATGTATGATTATATGTATCTATATGTATCTATATTAATCTAAGCATGAATTTTATATGTATCTATATTAATCTAAACATGAATTTATAATTATATCCCCAATTATAACCCATTACTACATAGATCATTCTAATCTTGTTCCCTTACTTATCTGTACATTTTATCCAAAACAAATCATTTAACTTTTGAAAGCATGAAAATGAAATTAATATTTTTAGCTATTGGGAAGTCATAACATATAGCATGATAATTTCTAGAGGGCATGATATACATCATCAAACTTAAATTTATAAACAAAAGCACTTTTTAACATAAGCATACCTTCATACTTTTGTTCTGATAATACAAAATAACCCCTTTTCTCTAGGATCCTTCCACACCTAAGACCCTGACAGCGCTCCCTCTTCTCACACAATCAGGAAGAACACTTAAGGAAGTGGTGAAAACCAGGGTTAGTTAATACTGGCCTCTTCACACACAATCATGCCGGAGGCCAATCAAGAGTTTAGCTTCTATCTGTACTTAACATCCGTAAAAATATGTTCTAAGTTGAAAATAGTACACGCTCCACTTGTCCCCCATATTAAGTGCCAGTGAAACCCAATGGAAAATGATTCTGGAACTCATCTGTATCTGCAGGATGGACTAGACAAATAATATAAGTGAAACTTCATTTCCCATTCCTGTGGTATCAGACAGTGATTAGGAGGATCAGGACCATTTCCCATTAAAGGCAACAAGATTTTATGAGAGGTCCCACTGTCTTTAGGAAGGTGATAGCAAGGCCAAAGTTGAGTTTTAAACTTCTCTTTCACCTGTTTGCACTAAAAAATGTGAATTAATGTCCCACTTTTGCTGCAGTGGTTATCATTGGAGCCAAATGGAAGGCTGCACATTCCTGCCCAGCTAGCATTTACTCTATATCTCAAAATAGAGGAACTTCTTAGCTAAACAAATAATAAGATAAAGGTGGATTCAGAATTATATAATACTCATAATGTTTAGAATACAATTACACATTTCTCATTATACTCCAAACCAGCTGTAATGGTTGATTTATTGTATCAGTTTGAGAAGTTACAATTTTAACTAAGTGACTTAGCAATTCTACATAGTAGAGTGTAGAGGACATACTAGGTTATAGGGTAGGTGTTCACACTTTAGGATGTTGAGGTAGTGATTCATTGTGTCAACTTGAGAGGTTTAGACGCTTAACTAATAGACTCAGCAGGGAACCAAGGTCCTCACTTGGTAAACATCCTCAGCCAATATAAGAGGAATGCTACACCCGCCCTAGAACAGGTGGCCTGCATAGGAGGGGAAGAAAAGGGGCCTGTTGCTGTTCCCTGTTTTTGCTCTTGTTGGTTTTGTTTTCTTCTTTCACTATGAAGTGTTGCCTCTCAGCCAACTGCTATTCTCCAATATATTTCCAAAGTAATCTTTCTAAAACAGCAACAAAAAATCTTTTACTTCACGTGGATCATATTATGGAAATCAACTTTTCAAACTCCAGCTTTCCAGTTAAAAACACAATCAACTAGGGGCTGGGGATTTAGCTCAGCGGCATAAGCGCCTGACTTTCAAGCAGGCAGTCCTGAGTTCGATCCCTGGTACCGATGAAAACGAAAAAGACAAAAAAAAAAAAAAAAAACAAAACCACAATCAACGGGTATCTCCCTCCTTTGGATTATTTCTCATGTTTTTACCATACACATATGAACCATTCATTCCTTAGCTGGTACACATCAACTCCTCCATTGTCTTTGGTTTTTACAACCCTGGAAGCACTCTTCATGCCATTATGTATGGCACTCTTTGTTCTATGCATAACTGTGCCTTTTCTTGACACTGTAAATTTCTCTCCTTTTTACTTCAAAAACTAACCTCTTTCTAGTACATGTCCAAGTTCAGTATTGCATTCTACAGGAAGACCAATAAATATTCCTCACTTATTACTGACTTGTAGTAAATTAATGAGGTAAAATGAATTAAAGTTCTACTTGTGACTTCCCATATTGATTTAAAATAATGATTCTAATGGTGGTATTTAGTTTATAACCTAATACACATAAGAAATTCAAAAGATTTATGTTGAAAGAATAATCAATATAAATTTGTAATTGTTTCCCTTTATTTTTTATTTTTATTTTTGGTAGCAGGGATTGAACTCACAACCTTACTGCGCTAAATCTCCAGCCTTGTTTCCCTTGATTTATTAGGTTTCTATCAAACATAAAGACAGTTTGCCAGGATTCTACACATGATTTAGTAGAGTAAAGGTTACTGACCCATCATCAGCGCTTAAATACCTCAAAGGAAAATAACCCAGAAATTTAAGATTATCCATTTGAAGTTAAAAGTCAATCACTTTCACTGAATCAGGTGCTGTTAGCACCCTCATTTATTTTTTCCCAACACTCATCATTTCAGTCTATACTGATAGATAGACTCATGATGCACTCACAATTATCTGCCATGGAGGAGGCCAAAATGCCCAGGATATCTGGATACAGTTTCAACCAGTTTCAGAAGTGATTTGAGATTCAAGCACATCCACTTTTTCACAGCTCTGAGGCATGTTCTGTAGAGTCTCACTGAACTCTGCTGAAGGACTAGCAGTTAGCCACAGGAATAACCTGTTCAGAAAGACATGTTTGCTTGCTTCATTCCATGCCTCTATTCTCAATTTCCATTTGATTCCTGAGTTTCCTAGTACTAACTCCCAGATAAACAGATGGCATGCAAATTCTTTTCTCAAGTTCTGTTTTTGGCATGAGCTCAATTTAAGCCAATCACAAGCCATTTCTAGCCCCCTCACAGTCAGACACTCCTTACAGGAGAATCAGTAGTGCAGGTGACAAGAGATGGCTCAGTATATGACGTTCCTTTTAGTTTCTAGTGTTTTGGAACAGATGGAAAATAGCATGACCTTAAAAAGAGAATTTATAGAGAATGGACTACGGGAAGAAGGAAGAAGAGACAGTATCACTTTTTTTCCAGTAATGATGGTACAGAATTTATGAGCAGATGGTCTGTAACAGGTGTGACTATAATTAGAGAAGATTGTTTCTTTAGTCACTGAGGAAACTGCTATTATTATTTTGGAATCACGACCTCAGAATTTTATTGCGTCATTTGCTTCCTTTTACTCTAATATCCATCTTCCAAATCACTGACTAGAAGTCAACAAATGTATTCTTTCTTCACCAGCCTATCACAAAAAGAGCTAAACACACATACATGTGCACACAGACACACACACACACACACAGTTTTCTATTTGATAAAGCTCAAAAAGACATAAATGGTTTCTGAAATATCCTTCAGTAAGTTCAGATGCATATTTTATGAATAATTAGATTTGCTCAAATAATTTTCTGGAGATCTAAGTGAAGACTGATGAAAATAAGTATAGGTGAATCCTGAAGAAGGAAAGTAAATTTTAAAGGAAAAGGCAGAAAACTTGACTTTTTTTGCCCTCACTTTATAAATTAGCTTTTTAGGAATAACCAGCCTTTTAGGAAGTTCTTACTTGGCTCAGAGCCCTAAAATACAACCTGTACTCTTGTTATAATGTGTTTGATTTCTATTAAAGTTTATATATTATTAATTTCTGTTTAGTTGTTATATGGTTTAGAAGAAGTGTGCTTGGACATTTACTTAAAACTGTAAATAAATGAATTCTATATATACAGATAATTTCACTTTTCCTTGCTGTCTTCATTGCAGTTGTCTGACTCTGACAAGACCTGATTTCCTCCAAAGAAGCAATTTCTAAAAAAATTCTGAAGCATATCTCCAAGAAAAAAGAAAATCAATGAATTAAGAACAAGAAGGTTTCCAATGAGGTAGGAACACTGAATTGCACATAGAGAGTCCACCAAAAAATATATAGACACATCAGGAAAAGAAAAATATATAAGTACATATAAGTATGATTTACTGAAAAATCATGACATTAATACAAGTTAGCTTTGGCCTCTAAAACTACTGGAGGTGTTCAAAGTTGTAGCTGTTAGCTTCTAGACATTTATTAGTATGGTAAGCGATGCTTGGGTGACTTTGGTGATTGAGATTGCTGCAAATGCATTTTTAATTTCTTTAAGTGTACTGAGTATTCTGTGATAATACAGCACCCTCCAGGGTTCTCCATGTGAGGGTAATACCCTCTATTGAAAAAATATCCTACTATTTTTCTTTTCCTGAGGTGTGTATACATTTTTTGGCAAACTCTGTGTTTAATCACCCAAATTAAGTATGCTGATAAGTGGAAAGCCATTTGAAAACAGAGTAGTAGCTAACTCACCACAGAAAGAAACTGCTCACAATTCCCTTGGAGGTGGTGTTGTTTATCACAGAGTACCTTGGAGGAAAAAGAATACAATAACAACATGATGTGTTTTTTTCCATTTTTAGTTCATTGTTACTAAGTACACTTAGTGATCCCTGTGCCTGTGGTTTAATCTCAGGAGGTTAGGAGTGTGGAGCAGCAGATTAACTCTCGATATTTTCTCCTAACACAATTCATTTTCATAGTTTGCCTCCTTGCCCTTTTGGTTGTTTATCAAAATTAAGTATATAGGAATAGTCCTAGTCAACAATGTGAGTAAATTACCTTGGTTCTTATGGGGCTCATCTAGTCTTGGATTGGGCACAAAATAAATGCCCACAGGGAGCTAGAGGGGAGGATAATGAGCTATGAAAAAGATGCTCTGTTTTTATTTACCTATGCATATCAGGATTCCACTCAACAATTTTCTTTCCATCTGCAATTTCAGATTAAAACTTAGGGCAGAGGACCTTCCCATTTTATGACAAGAAACAAAACACAGCATCAGAATCCCAACCCGGAAACAGTTTTCTTATTTATAGCTATGTACAGGGCTCAGTGGTTAGCACAGTACTTGACTTCGAGTCAGTACCCAAAACAATGCACACTGAATGACAGGTGGATGAATAAAAGAAGAACAAGTTAATGTAGTAAAAAATGTATCTATCGTTTTATTGTCTTGTGTGCTGACCTCTGTAGTCTCTGGAGTCAGCACCATAAGTGACACATCAAATACAAGGATAATATCTATTGAATAAATGTGATCCTCATGACTCAAAGAATAATTATAAGTCTAGCCCAGATTCCATATTTTCTAAAGCCTATGACATAAGTATGATATGAAAGCCCAGATCTCATACTACAAAAGTATGTAATCTAAACAATCTGTATGGTTTTTAGACTTTTAATAGTTTTTACATAAAACTCTTTAAAGAAAAACACAAGACCACTAAATGATGGACAGTAGGTATAAAACCCCTTTGATAAGCTTCTAAAACATACTATTTGCAAAATATATTTTTCAGGCATTTATATAATGATAAAGTTAAGGACAATTTCACGGTCACTATCTGTTAAAATTCTGATTCGTGCATTTTCTACAGGTAGTACTGCAATGGCCATTTCTCTGTGAAGAGCTATTGCTATCTTCTCAGTCCCAAGGAATGAAAAAAACCTTTCTTTAGAGAAAGAAAGGCAAAATTTAGCACAAAAATTCAGTTACTGCAAAACCAATGCTGCTTTTAGTAAATCCATTCAGCCACATCCAGAACTATACATTATGTATACTCATTGGACTGACACAGTTGTGACACTTTCCTGAGCCACACCCACACAACCTAGATCCAACCACCACTGAAAGGCCCTATGTATGAGCACATGAGACTTTTGGGAGATATCTAGATATAAAGCACAACATATTATGCTATGTTACTACAAATTCTTCATGTAATTTAATCTTCTTGATCTCTATATAGCCTAATTTTAATTACTTAGTGTTTTTAAAACATTTAACATATTTCTGATAAATCATTTCTTTCAGTTACCTTACAAAATATTGAAATATGTTTAAAGCTTTGTGTTACAGTAAGATATTAGAGTAAGGATGCAGGGAGAAAGGGAGGGAATAGAGAGGTAGAGAATAAAAAGATGAATTTATGTTTGACGAAAAGGAATAAAGAATGTTTATATTCTATAATTACTTGAAATGTAATACACTACACTGTGCACTCACAGGAAGGAGTACATTGACAAGGCTTTGAGAATTTTGCACAAAATATTTGGAAATTTGCTATAATAAAGACTATAACAACAACATAAGGTTTTATTTAACATTGTTTATTTTTTCATAAAACTGTACAGTTTTCTATAATCATAAAATTGTGGCATCATAAAATGGTTAGTGTTTAAAAGTGATCTATCATTTTATAACTCTGAGGTTCAGAGACGCAAAGTGACTAGCTCAGGTTCACACAGGAAGTTAAATTAAATTCTTTTTGAGTATTTGTCTTAAAAACACCATATATATGATGTTATATGTATAGTACATACTTGTGTTAAATACATATACTCTTTATGTAAAAATTTTACAGCTACTGACAATGTCTTGGGTTGTTGTTTCAATTATCAGAGGTTACTGAGCTATAGGATGGTTAGGCAAATTACCTTCACAGATAAATATTTTTTTAAAGACTGAGGCTAAAATCATCTCAGTTTTGAGCATTGTACTATAGCTGGTGACAATACATTTATGATTTTCAACATAATAGTTATAAGAAGTTACATGACTAAAAATATAAAATGAGACTATTCAAAAAACAATACCTAGTAAAGTTGAAAAAAAAAAAAAAGGAAATGAAATACTGTGTATCCAGAAAACTAGCATCTTAGGCTTTACCTGCAAAATTGATTTTGTATTCAAGTAAGTAATTTTACAACTAAGCTTCATTATGACTCTAAAATTTGTAACAATCATTTATAAAATTCTGCTTAAAATATGGGAAGTTTCAAACTTTCTTTTTAAAATCTATTCTAAAATATCTTTCTTAAAATATTTTCTTAAAATCTATTTTAAACAAGCAATTTCCTCTGTTCCTCTAAATTTGATATTAAACTGTAACCATCTTCACTTATAGTATGCTGTAGTTGGAGTTGACACAAAGACAAAAATATTACATTTAAACACTGTATACTTATTTCTTAAATGAATTTTTGTAACATGTAAAATAATACTTTATCTAAAATCTTGATTCCCTCTTTGCAACTTTTCATTACTCATGATACTGCAGTCAGTCACTCATGACAGAAAATTATTCTTTTGTTTGCTAAAGATATTTTTTAGAATATCAAGTTTTGATAGTATTCATACAAGAAATTTTGGAAAAGGAGTTTTAATAATATCCACCATTAATGCTATATTTCATTTACTTTCAAAGCACCATATTCTTCTAGTTTTCTTACTTTCTCTTATAACATTCCTTCCGATTTGTTACTGAAATCTCCAGCCCTCAATGACTAGTGTTACAGTACCCTAAAATTTGTTCTTACCCTTCCAATCCTTTATATCCATTCGCTATTTATGAATTTATTGCAGTCCAATTAATTTAAAAGTCAGATGTTTAAGACTTTCAAATTCATTCTTTTCAATTTGACCACTCATCCATATTCCCATTTTCCATTAGAATTTCCACTTAGCATTTTAAATTTAATAAAGAAAACTTAGTTTTTCCCAGCTTTATAAATCATTCAGTTGTGGAAGCTAAAGGCCTGTTTTATCTGTTAACTCTCACTTCTCACAGATCCTCTGTGTAGTCTATCAGAAATACTTATTAGCTGTATTTCAAAATCTATCTTGTACCCATTTATATCTCATTATCTTCATGCAACTCTATCACTTTTTGTCTCATTTAATGTAATAGACAATCTCTTACATGATCTCCTCCCTCTTTTTTTATCCTAATCCTTATAGTGTAATCTATAACCAATACAAGAGCTACAATAATCATCTTTTGAAAGAAATAGTACCATTGCTCAAAACCTTGCTCCTTACTATTCAGAATAAAAATCAAACTGTTTTCTGATGTCCATATGGCCTCATTTGATGATTCTCCAGCTTTACTTTCCAAACTCATTTACTACTGCTCTGGTCCCCTCACCTATTTACTTGCAGGATTTTCTACTCCAATGGATTTTTGAAGTATTAGGACATTTGCAATTGCTTTTTTCTAAAACCTGGAGGATCTGCAAGGTTCCTCTAAGTAAGATCTAAGCATATATTCCATTTAATTTTGCGAAGATATTTGTAGAAGACATTTTATATAAAATAAGCTACATTCCACTTTGTAAATGGTTGATACATCTTGCAATTCATAAATTTATTAATCAACAAATGTGAATTCATAGAACTAAAACAGGTGATATCAATATGTTTTAAATTTTGACTGTCCAAGCACTGTAAATACATGAATTATACCACAGTTTCAATATTTAATTGATCAAAATCAGTATAGGGGACTTCCAGACATGCATTAGCATCCACAGAGATTCTGAACAGGAAATCATGCAGGCTCAGGAACCTGCCTTCTAACAAGTATCTTAGATGATTCTACAGCAAATGGCTTATGTATTGTCCCAGGAGACACCAACTCTCTGTAGATGTATTTGCTCCCATACAAGGAAGGGGCCTGATATGAACTGGTACAGATCACCAAAGGTATGAAACTGAACATCAACAGATGGCACAATCCAAAGTCCCTGTGACAGTCAGGGTGAAGCTTCAATTTAACTAGCTTTGGGATCTACCCTGGGGATCTGTAGAGCACAATTCCAGGTGTGTCTCGGTGGGTCATAGAGGCATGTTATTGGGATCTGTTTAATCCCTCACCCATTCTACTGTGGCAGTCATCCCCCACTCAGTTTCACACACACTGTATGCAGCTTTGTTTTGCCAAGGCCTTCTACCAAGCCATAATGTCTCTACCTTGAAACAAGCAGATCATGGACGAATCCCCAAAACCCTAA